CCATCAGGGATATCACCTGGGGCTGAGTTTAGGGGAGATGTGCTAGTGTGAGAGAATCTAGTCAGGCACGTAGCATTCTTCCCACAGCTGAGAGCCCTGTATGGTGAAGGCTTGGGCTAAGAGGTCATAAATTATGACAAAAGTTTTATGTATTTTTTCCCTCTGAAGATTTATTTATTATGTACACAATGTTCTGCCTGCATGTACACCTGTACCCCAGAAGAGGGCACCAGATCTCATTATAGATGATTGTGAGCCACCATGTGGTTGCTGGGAACTGAACTCAGGACCTCTGGAAGAGCAGCCAGTGCTCTTAACCTCTGAGCCATCTCTCCAGACCCCAACCAAAGTTTTCTAATCGTAGAATGCAGCTGTACAGCTGAATGACGAGAGCTGTCAGCATTCCTTCCATGAGAGTTTTTAATTCTTATTTTCGAGAACTTCATTTTAAAGGAAAATTAAGTGACTACCATCTTTTCATCCCAGGAATGAGTCAGATTGAAAGAGTCCATGAGACCACCAGGTGCCCTACCAGAGCGCAACACTCACGTCAAAGGCGTCAATGGAGGACAGCGCCTCCCCCCCACATTGTCACATCACAAACTTGACTGGTCCATGCTCTAAGCTGGGGTGTTCTGGAATACCTTATCTTCACGTGTGGAGATGAAGCTGGTTCATTCCAGAGACAAACCTCCTAGTTTAGTTATGCTGATCTAAACTCAAGGGAACCACTTAAAAAAAAAAACTGGGCTTGAACTGGCCCTGAGGGAGGGTGGGGCTGGACATCCTGGAAAAGTCAAACCTTTTTCTTTGTGGATGTGTGTTTGAAACAGGGTTTCTTTGTGTAGCGCTAGTGTCCTGGAACTAGCTCTGTAGATCAGGCTAGCCTTGAGCTCAGAGATCCACCTGCCTCTGCCTCCCAAGTGCTGGGATTAAGTGTGTGCCACCACCACCTGACTTTTCTATTATTTTGTCTCCTCCAGCCCCTGCCCCAAGACTTATCACTGAGCTAAAACCCCAACCCCGGAAAGCCTTTTTCTGCAGACCAGAAAGTCTGTTGAGGGGGAAAGAGTATGCACGAATACCTTTAGACTACCTTTAGACGCTGGCACTTGCTCTTCAGGGCAGCAGGAAAAGCTGGGGTGAAGACAAGGAGAGGGAGGAGGGGAGAGAATCCTCACTGTGATGCAGATTTGCCTCAGGGGATGCTTTAGCCTCACTCCATGTTGAGGGTGAGGGGCTTCCAGAAGAAAAGTCATCTCCAACCTCACAGAAGAGGGCAGGCCATTCTCTTGTCTTTGTGTCCCTAACATGTAGACAAGAAGCAAAGCTCCCCACAAGGTATCAGACGAAGCTCAGCTTGTACCCCGGTGGACAATGATCTGGACACACAGCCTAAAGGACTTCCAGTCATGTGGCAATGGACAATAAAAAAATCTCTTATAATCTGAGACCGGCACTTTTGCTGGACCTTGAGGTCACTAAGAATTAAGACTGCTACCCTACTGTGCACTCAGCCTGTTGTTTTAACCTGCCCTTGAGAAAACAAAAGTAACAGTCAACCTCACTTGCTCTGGTTTTCCCATTTACATTTTCTTTTACAACCTAATCTTAAATTACGTATCTTAAGTTACAACCCAAAGGAATGCATGTGTGTTCTGTAATGATTTGCCGAAAGCAACCTTATGAAATGGACATCCACCGTTAAGCGTTACACAGAACACTCGGCTATTGCTTTATAAACAAGGGTGTTTGTCTGGGTTGGTTGGAATGATTTGATCCCTTGTAAAACTGTTAAAGGCTCCTGTAAAGTATCCCTCATCCCTTCACCAGGTAATGATTTTTGTGGTGTTCTAAAAAACGGAGAAAAGCCATCTGTAACTGACACTCCCAGGCACTGCTACAGCTCATACACAGCCTTCAGGCACAGGGTCAGACTCATCCGACAGACAGGGAGGATAAGACACAGGGTGAGGAGAGAATGCAATCTGGACTTGTTGTTGGCAAAATGACACCAAGTGCTTTAATTTTTTTCCCATAAGGCAACATTAACTCAGGTACTGGTTACTCTGAGTTAATCACAAACATGTTAAATCTATGCAGCCTTACCCGAGAGCAGCCCCAGCTGGAGACTGTCAATCACCCACAGGCAGACCACAAGCACCAGAACGATGACAGGCCAAGGGAGGCAAGGAGAGCATTCCATCTGGGCCACCAAAATGCGCTAGGTTGACAAGTCAAAGGTGCAGGTTTGAAAGATCAACACAGATAGAAAAAGGTGTCAGGAAGAAAGTATACTGGGACTAGAGTGCGGCTTCATGACCCACGAAAGCAGGAGCAACCTTGCGGCCAGCGCCCACATGAAAAGCTGCGCACCTTCCTATAACCCCAGAGCTGGGGAGAAAGATACTCAAACATGGATGTAAGGTCTCTACATCTTTATTTGAAAATCAAAACCTACTGGCATAGGCTCATACTTTCTCATCTGGTCTGGAAGTTTCCTCCTACATCCTTTTCAATGAAAATTTATTCAGCCATCACATTATTTTTTTACTCTAACTTATTCACTCTTCTTTTTCTCAAGACATGGTTTTTCTATGTAACAGCCCTGCTGTCCTGGAACTAAACTTCGTAAGCTCAGACTGGCCTTGAACTCAAGAGTGTTGTTTGCCTCTGCCTCCTAAGTGCTGGGACTAAAGGAGTGTGCCATCATGTCTAGCTTAGTCACTCATTTATCATTTCTAACTAAAACTGTAATATGACTCGGTCAACAGAAAATCTTAGTACTGGCATTAAAAAAAATCTTCAGATCACTAGGAATGAACTTCCTGGTATGAAGAGAGAGTACTTCTTTTAATGTTAAAAGTCAGAGTCAAGCCAGGCAGGGTGGCACACACCTGTAATCCCAGAACTTGGGGAGGCAGAGGCAGGTGGATTGCTGTGAGTTTGAGGCCAGCCTGGTCTACAAAGTGAATCCAGGACAGCCAAGGCTACACAGAGAAACCCTGTCTCAAAAAACAACGTCAGAATCAACTACCTTCAAAAAGAAAAATCCAGGGAGCTGGAGATAGTTTAGTGATTAAGAGCTCTGGCTGCTCTTCCAGAGGACCTGGTGTTCAATTCCCAGCACCCACAGGATGTCTAACAGCTGCCTAACTTCAGTTCCAGGGGATCTGATAGCTCCAAAGGAACTGTATGCACACAGTGCACAGACAATACATACAGGCAAAACACCCATACACATAAAACATTAAAAATAAAAATCCAGTTCTTTACAATTCCGATGCAAAATGAAAAAGCTGGCCGGGCGCTTCGGCACACATCTGTAATCCCAGCATTCTGGGAGGCAGAGGCAGGGAGATCTCTGTGAGTTCAAGGCCAGCCTGGTCTACAAAACAAGTCCAGGACAGCTGAGACTACATAGAGGAACCCCATCTTGAAAAACCAATTAAAAAAAAAAAAAAGCTAAATTTGTAATTTGAAATCAAGCTTCAATTTCAGTGGACAATGGGAAGTGGAAGAGAATAGGGAAAAAGGGGGAGGGGGTTATAATTGGGATATAAAATGAATAAATTGTAAAAAAAATAAAAATCAAGCATCAAATGATCATTTTTCAGTTAGGAAAAAACATGGTTTGTTTTCAAACAGGGCTTCCCTATGTAGACCAGACTGGTCTCCATCTCAGATCTGCCTGTCTCTGCCTCCTGGGTGCTGGGAGTAAAGGTAAACTACACCTGACAGAAAACCTAACTTTGTAAATGTTAGTCACCAACGTAGAGAGACCACTGAAGTCTAGTTTACTGTGGTCTGAATGAGAACGGCCCCTATAGGTTCACGTTTGAACACGTAGTCTCCAGTTGATGGAACTATCTGGTGAAGGTGAGATGTGTTACTGGAGGTTGGCCTGGAGGCCTGAAAGCCCATGCCACACTCACGGGTAGGGTTGCCTGCTCTCCTTGTGCCTGTGTCTCAGGATGGGCGCTCTAAGCCACTTACTGCTCCCTCCTCTCATGATGGTCATGGAACTGTGTGAGCCTCGTATCTTGTCAACACCAAGTGACAAGGTGACAGCTAATGCTAAGTCAGGTTCCAAAGGGCAGTGTTATATGGGGACAACAGAAATACCTCCTCTAAAGGACACAGCAAAAACAATTTCTAAAGTGGATTATGCACACGGTAACTATAGAAAGCAATGAAACAGAACTCTTGACAGTTCTTTTTTCTTTGACGTCTCTGAGATGTAACATTTCTGAGCTAACAGGACCCCTACCCATTTTTTTTTTTTTTGACTATTCATAAAGCATTAAGAGGAAGACAGAAACATTCAAAAATAGCTTTCTGAGCGCACAGTATTTTGGAAACAGACATGCACTTGTAAACACTTCAGGGAGAAAGAACAAGAACATGATAGATGAGGACGTTCCCTGTCCAGCACGGTTCTATTCTGTAGAGTTCACACCTGCCTCCTTTTACTCTCTAGACCTCACTTCTCTCAGACCTTTACATATTCATAACCCAGAATCAGGCTAAAACTCCAGCAGTACTGCTTTTTCTTCAGCTCAGTAACAATGTCACAGCAACTTGTACGAGCCAGCTGCAGAGGGAAAGAGGCTAACATGCTACTTTAAGGTCCATCACATTTTTCCTTTAGATGCACACTGGGTTGAAAGGTACAGAGACACACGTGATGCTGAGTATGGGAAACATCGTCTGCTGTGATTAAATTACCATAGATGAGAATTTCAAATTCCAGGAGCTATTAAACTTACATAACAGATTTAAAACAATTCGTGTTTTGTGGCATATCCTTACATACAAATTTCTAAGGTACTGTCTATGTTTTATATTTCCTCTGAAACTGTGGACTAGGGATGTAGATCAGTGGGGAAAAAAAAACACACACACAAAAACAAAACAAAACAAAAATCAACAAACTTGGCTAGCACAGATAAGACCCTAGATTCGGTCCCCAGCAGCACAAAAAGCCAAAGCAGCTCATGGAAATGGAGCTGGGTATGTGTATTTACAGCTGAGTATGGAGAGATAGACAGGTACTGGGATACATACACAAGAACATGTACTCTTTAGCTGGATATTAGAACTTTCGGTATATTTTTGCGGTATCCTTTTTTTCTGAAGTTTTTGAGTTAGGTTACATCTCAATATGATTTCCCAAGTTCCTTTAGCCTGAGGGCTCTCTCTCCCTGGAAGAACTCTGGTTTGGTGGGTTTGCCACAGTGCAGTCTGGCTGCAGCCTCAGGACCTAGCCTGTGTGGAGCCTCTGGTGGACGCTGAGCCGGGACTTTCTGCTGAAGGCCTTCCCGCACTCGGCACACTCATAGGGCTTCTCTCCCGTGTGGATCCGCAAATGTAACCGAAGCGTTGACCTCTGGCTGAAAGTTTTGCCGCATTCAGTACATTCGTAGGGCTTTTCCCCAGTATGAGTTCTCATGTGGATGATGAGCTGCGAGTTCTGGATGAATGATTTTCCACACTCACTGCACTCGTAGCGTTTCTCCCCCGTGTGAATTTTCTGATGTATAATGAGGTTTGACTTCTTAAAGAAGGTTTTTGCACATTCGTTACACTCATAGGGTCGCTCTCCTGTATGAATTCTCTGGTGTGTGGTGAGCTCAAACTTCTGAGCAAATGTCTTTCCACATTCACTGCATTCATAGGGTTTCTTCTCCATATGTGCTCTCTGGTGCACGATAAGGTTCGACTGGTGGGTAAATGCTTTTCCACACTCAGGACATTCAAAGGGTTTCTCTCCCGTATGAATTCTCTGATGTTTGATGAGGTTCGCCTTATGGGAGAAGGTTTTCTTGCACACATTACATTCATAGGGTTTTTCTCCTGTGTGTATCCTCTTATGACTAATGAGGAGTGACTTGAAGGAGAAGGCCTTGTCACAGTAATTACAGACAAAAGGCTGAACCAGGTTCTTAATTTTCTGATGTTTAAAGATGACTTCTTTATGGCTGAGAGCCTTTCCGTTTCCATTATATTCTGAATATTCTCCTCCAGCGTGGGGCTTCTCTTGCTTCAGATACAGAAGTGTTTTCCCAAATCCACTGCATTCATCAGCTTTCTTTCTTACACAGCTTCTACTGCTAAGTAAGTCTGAATTGTATTTCAAAGTTTTTTCATATAAATCATATTTATAGGGAACCTGTGTTAATGAAACGAAGTCTGTGTTCAGATTTAATGTCTTTTCAAAGAGACTGCCTCTTTCTTCAGTTGGTGGTTGGTTCTTGAGGGTTTTAAGTGGCCTCATCTGCTTATCAGGGTCTCTGGGGTCCTTCTCCACCTGGTCGTCAGCCTTCCACACTTCTAGGACAAAGCACAATGAAAGGCACTTTCTTAATCCTTCTTTGTTAGAGTGGCAAATCCCCACAAGTGCTCCCATCATAGAGCGGACTCTGGTTTCCAACCCAGTCTCTTAGCATTAAAAAAAAAAAAAAAAATCTGCAGTGCAAATCTTTCTCTCCTCTTAAGCTTTCGATGGAAAATAAATACATGCTGGGAAGAGGGGGTTCCGGAGGACAAAATGACCTTAAAGTGGGCAGAAAAAGCTGGGCATTGGGGTGTACACCTTTAATTCCAGCACTCAGGAGGCAGAGGCAGGCAGATCTCTGTGAGTCCAAGGCCAGCCTGGTCTATAGAGCAAGTCCTAGGGCAACCAGGGCTACACCCAGAAATGCTGTCTTGGAAAATAAACAAAACAAACAAACAAAAAAAGTGGGCAGAAAAAAATAAACAAAGGTCAAAGCTGGGACACTGTGGCTCGTTCCTATAATCCTAACACTCCAAATGCAGACTTGAGAAGTCTAGCCTGAGTTTAAGGGTAGTCTGGACTATACAAAAAGATCCTCTCTCAACAACTAACTTCCTCCCTGTGGTCACAAACCAAAATAAAGATCAGCATAAGATGACATGGGAAAACAGCAGTTCAGGAATGAAGATTCCCCAGTCCTCTCACGACACTAACTAGTTAGCTTAGAGGCCAAGAAAACATGCAGCTGATGTTAGGTTAACAGGCCCAGGGAGAGTGGACATCTGTGGCTGACTTCGGTGTAGATGGCAGTGGCATGCCAACAGTGGTCCACTCTGCTCTGTACTGTTTTTATCCTTTCTGAGACTGGGTTTCACTGTGTAGACCAGGCTGGCCTAAAATTTCCAGCAATCCTTTTTACTACTGGCATGTGTCACAACAAGTGGCTCCAAATAATTGTATTCACAGAGGCTAGGAAGAAGGTGCCAGAGTCTCTGGAACTGAAATTACAGATAGTTGTGAGCCACCATTTGGGTGCTGGGAACTGAACCAAGGTCCTCTGGAAGAGCAGCAAGTAAGTTCTCTTTTTCATTTTGTTTTCTGATAGCTTTGGCTGTCCCGGAACTCACAGAGATCTGCCTGCCTCTGCGGAGTAAAGGCATGCACCACCGCTGCCCAGCTGCAAATATGTACTGAGCCATCACTCCAGCTCTGACTTTTAAAATCTTTTCTTGAGATTGGCTCTCGTGTATCCCAGGGTGGCCTCTAATTCCTTATATAGTCAAGGATAACTCTGAACTCTGGGTCCTCCTGCCTCTGTATCACAAGTGCTAGAATTACATGTGTGTAACCCCATGACTGCTTTACTATGAGGTGCTATGAATCCAATCTAGAACTTTCTTTTTGCTATGCAAACACTCTACCAACATGTTACACCTCTTACATCAAAATATCTTAAAAAAAAAAACTGGGTGGGCATAGTAGCACAAATCTCTAATCCCAGCAGGGGGATCTCTATAAGTTTGAGGCTAGCATGGTCTACACAGTGAGTCCAGGTTAGCCAGGGCCACACTGCCAGACCCTGTCTCCAAAATACAAACTAGCAAAAACTATGAGGAAGGAGTAGCGATAAGAAGACTCCATGGAGTATCTTCTCCCTTTGACTTTTATACAGGTTCTAGGATTAAAGTCAGGTCATGAAAGTGCTAGGGCAAGGGCCTTTAGATACTGTGCCGCCTCACCAGCCCCCAAATAACTCAGAGCTTTTCCTTTTCTTACTTTCATGTACCTGTGATGTGCATGTCTGCATGTATGTGAGTGCACATGCAGGTGGAGATTCATGGCTGATGTCGGAAATCATCTTCCACTGCTCTTCTTCTGTAGTCAGTCAGGCAGGGTCTCTCAGTCAAACCCCGAGCTCACTGATGTGCTCAGTCTTACTAGCCCTTCCAAAGAGGGCTAGTAAGAGCTAGCCTTCCAAAGAGGGCTAGTAAGAGCTAGCCTTCCAAAGAGGCTCCCATCCAGCCCTTCTGTGGGCTCTGGGAATCCACTTGCACAATCTCCCCCACCCTGAAAATAACTTATTTTTAAAAAATGCATGGTGCTGGAAAGATGGTTCAGAGGCTAAGAGCACTGGGTGTTCTTCCGGAAGATCTGGGTTCAATCCCCACACCCACGTGGTGGCTCACAGGCATCTGAGCCGCCAGTGTTCTCCAGTGCTCTCTTCTTGCCTCTACAGGCACCAGGCATACACCTGGACATACATATGGGCAGGCAAAGCACCCATACATAAAATAATTTTTAAAAGGTTTATTTACTTTTATTTTATATGCATGGGTGTTTTACCTGCATGCTATGTCCGTGTACACGTTTGCAGTGCCCCCAGAGACCAGAAGAAGGCATTACAGAAGACCGGTAGCCTCATGTAAACGCTAAAAATCAAAACACATAGTCTCTGGAGTTCTCTTGATCACTGAAGTATCTCTTCAGCCCACCACCACTCTTTTCATGGCGAGAGCCCTGGCTACTCTGGAACTCTTCATGTAGACCAGACTGGCCTTGAACTCACAGAGATCTATCTGCATCTGCTTCCTTGGTGCTGGTATTAAAAGTGTGTAACACTACACCCAACTTATACTTTTTGCCTATTTTGTGTGTGTGTGGTACACGTGAGCACCCATGCCTGCCATGGCATGCGAGTGAGGTCAGGGGATAATTGCCTTAAGTCTGCTCCCTCTACCAATATGGGCCCTAGGGGTCACACTCAGGATACTGGGCTTGAGCAAGCACCTTTACCCACTGAGCCACCTCCACACTGGTCCAAAAAGATGTATGTTTGTTTGTGGTTTTTGTTTTGGCTTTTCAAGACAGGATTTGATTTTTGATGATTCTTTGATCATCAAACCCTGGCTATCCTGAACTTGCTTTGCAGACCAGGCTGGCCTTAAACTCACAGAGATCCATCCTTCTGTCTCTGCCTTCCTTTAATCCTGGGATTAAAGGCCTGCACCACCATGCCCAGCACTTGTTTTTCTTTAATGTCTGTACTCGGGCCTGTGTATGGGTACAGGTGCCATCAGAGCCATGGGCTTCAGATCCCTCTGGAGCTGGTGTTCCAGGTGGTTGTGAGCTACCTAATATGGGTAATGGGAACCAAACTCAAGTCCTCTGCAAAAGCATATAGTATACACTGTTAACCAATGAGTCAACTCTCCAGCCCCACAAAATCACTTTAAAGTGAGCATTTCTCACAGGCCTGCAGAGACAATTACGTTGTGGTGCTCCGTGCCTCTGAAGACACCTCTCAGGTAGACAGCAAGATCTTGGGGTTAGCTGGTTGTGGTGGCACACGCCTTTATGGAAAGACATACCCTTACAATACAACCACACGCTGGGTTTAAGGCTTTCTTACAGAGGCTGCTGAGGGTGGCTGCATTATGACCCTATTTACCTGAACAGATCTAAAGGGGCATCACTCTGCCCTGGTCTAGACCTTTAAAAGCCTGACTGTGACATTGATACAATGTCATTCTTGTATTAAAAAAATCTGTGTCAATTCCCATGAGCTAAAATACAAAGCATCATTCTGGTCAACTGAGAATAATCCTAACACCCAGTACTCATGTGTGAGGCAGGCACTGATAAATATGGAGAGATGAACATCTGGAAGTGTGACAGGATAAGAAGTACAGGTCATCCTGAGTTCTTAGTCATCTCTACATGGCTTTGGAATTGAAAAATGGGGTTCAAGGTGAGGCTGGGATAGATGAACCCTTGTCTTAAAAAAAAAACAAAAACAAAAACAAAAAAAAAACCTCAAATATGCTCAAACTTCAAAACCTCGGATATCACTTCCACTAGCCTTTCATTTTCCTACTCGTAGCTTCCCCAGAGAATTCTACATGACCATTCTAACCACACTCTCGACAACTCCTGCCATTCCAGCTTAAAGATCCGTTCCCCAAAGCTGTCCTTACCCACTGAAAGTAAGTTGCTGTAGTTCTCCAGCATTACATCCATGTAGAGAATCCTCTGAGAAGGGTCCAGTTGCTCCCACTCCTCCTGGGTGAAGTCCACAGTTACATCAGTGAATGACACCGATCCCTGAAATGACACGTTTTGGTCTAAAGCGATTAGCTTTGGGAGACTGAGAAAGGATGCATGAAAACTTACTCTGGCCACATTGGAAGCTGTTCACCATAACACCAACTGTGCTGCCTGTTCAGCCTCAGTGAAGACCCTTATTCAGCACAGGTGTAGTGGTGCATACCTTGAACCCTAGCACTTTGGAGGTGAGGCTGGAGGATCTGAGTTTGAGGGCAGCCTGGTCTACACAACAAATTTCAACCTTGCCAGGTCTCAAAATAGAAACTAGAAAGAGGCAAATCCACACTGATGCAGAGGTCTGCATCAAATAACAGGAAAATGAAGATCTTTCAAAAACACAAGGTCTGAAAAGTATGTTTCTCAGGGACTGGAGGGATGGCTCAAAGGTTAAGAACACTAGCTGTTCTTCCAAAGGTCCTGAGTTCAATTCTCAACCATATGGTGACTCACAACCATCTTTAATGAGATCTTGTGCCTTCTTCTGGTATACAGACACACATGCAGGCAAAAATGCTGTATAAATAATCAATCAATCAATCAATCAATCAATCAATCAATCAATCAAAAAAAAAAGCGTGTTTCTCACTCCTTCTTAAGGAACCACTGAAGAATGCACTGAAGCCAGGTGCGCACGTGAGCCTTTAATCCCAGCACTCGGGAGGCAGAGGCAGGTGGATCTCTGTGAGTTAGAGGTCATCCTGGTCCATATATCCATAGAACAGTGGTTTTCAACCTTCCTAATGCTGCTACCCTTTAATTCTGGCCACCCCCCAACCATAAATTTCTTTTGTTGCTACTTTATAACTGATTTTTCTACTGTTATGAATTATAAATATCTGATATGCAGGATATCTGATAATGGGACCCCAGAGGGGTCACAACCCACAGGTTAAGAACCACTGCCATGAAGTGACCTCATCTCAAAAAAAGGACACAGAAAAGGACACAGGAAGGGACAAATGGGCAGAGATGCCCAGGAAGAGTTTGCAGATGAGCAGCGACTGTAAGGACACCAGACTGCCTCTAGTGTGGGCTGGAAGGAATTCAAACCCAGGCATTCTGAGGCCTAGCATCAAGATAACCGCTGCCGCTGCCAGATTTTAACCAAGCGGAGGGCAGACTGCCTCTGTGCAGCTTCTTAAACACACTTACCCTGGTTTGTCCTGGGTGTGTGCTAAATACATTTCTCTCCCCCTGCCACACCAAGCTGCCTTGGATCAGAAGACACTCAGTCCACCCATCTAACAGATCTGCCTGCTTTTAACCAACTCCCAAGAGCTGGCAGGCAAGCGGTAAGCCAAGATGCACCAAACACTGGGCATCTCGCTCTGCCGATCGCAGCCTTATTGAACACTAAATACTGATGCACACTCTGATTCGGCCAGCTGCGCCAACAGTGTAGAGCTCTGTGTTTCCTTATGCTTCTCATGACCTTGTAATGACTTCCCCGAGGAGGCTTCTGTGACCCTTTGGGAAAGCTGCTACACTAGGACCTTTTCATGGCTCATCTCCCAGCAAACTTTGCATACAAGTCTTAGGTAAGTAGGCTAAGGACTGCCTCATTGCGCTTGCCAGTTAGACTATCTTTTATTTTGCCGCCAGCAATGTATGAGTCATTTGTTCTCTCGACACTGGCTAATGTAATCTGAACACAAAGAAAGGGCCAATGAGATGGTTACTTGGGTAAAGGTGCTTACTGTCAAGCCTGAAGATCTGAATTCCTTACCATATGGTGGAAAACAAACAAACAAACAACCCTTGCAAGTAAGTTGTCCTCCGACCTCCACATGTATACTATGGCACAGGCCCCGAACCTCACCCCATGCACACAAATTTTTAAAAATGTAATTAAAAATGAAAAACAATCTCCCTGTCAGAAGGGCTCAGCTGCGATGGCATTATAGGGAGCAGATCAGGTCTTAACCCAGGTGTGTACAGATCACCCACACTGCACACGGTTTCTCTTCTGGGGTGTTGGGGGTACTGGGATCAAGCCCAAGGCCTCAAGGATGCAAGGCAGGCACACTATTAGCTGAGCTATATCCTTCCCTAGCACTTTATTATGTTTATTGTTATTACACAAAGAATTAGGAACAAGGGCTAGCATATGACTCAGTGGTAAGCCTGACAACCCTGAGTTCAATCCCTGGAACCCACAGGAAGGAAAAAGAGCCAACTTCTGAAAACCAAAACACATACGCTGTAGCATTCACACATACACACACACAAAGTTTTTTAAAACTAGATGCAGTGTTGCAAGCTGTAATCTTAGCAGAGGCAGAGGCAGGCGGAACTCTGTGAGTTCCAGGCCAGTCCTGGAACAGTTCAGAACAGCCAAATTTACAGAGAGACCCTGTCTCATAAAAAAAAAAAAAAAAGAGACAGTCTCATGTAGTACTACTTGGAGCTGAATTTACAGAGGTCCAGCTGCCTCTGCCTCCTGAGGGCTGGGATTAAAGATGTGAGAACCACACCCCTCAAAACATTAAAAAAATGAAGCAGAGGATGAGGACGTCACCTATGCTCTCCTAAGGAACAACTTCAAAAGATGTTATTTGGTGTGGTGGTGCGCACCTGTAATTCTAGTACTTGGGAAGCTGATGTGGGATGACCAGGATTTCAAGGCAGGCTTGACCAACGTGAGCTACAGAGTGAAGCCCTAGCTCCAACAAAAACATAAACCTAAGCTTAAGCCACTGAGTAATCAAAAAGATGAATTACAAACTAAAAAATTCTTTGTAACCAGTAACCAGGTGTGGTAGCCCCCATACCTTTAAGCCCAGCACTCTGGAGTTGGAGGCCAGCCTGGTCTACAAAGTCCAGGACAACCAAGGCTGTTACACAGAGAAACCAGAGGTTAAGAGCATTGGTTGCTCTTCCAGAGGTCCTGAGTTCAATCCTCAGCAACCACATGGTAGATTATTACCATCTGGTGCCCTCTTCTGATGTGCAGGCATACCTGTAAGGTAGAACTGTGCATACATAATAAATAAATAAACAAACAAAGAAATATTTTTTTAAAATACCAAAAATGAAAACAAATTTTTTTTTCTTTGAAAAGCACTTATCTGATAGAGTATTTATAATGCACAGGAACTGCAGAGATGGCTCAGTGTTAGGAGCACTGACTGCTCTCCCCTTCCAGAGGACCTGGGTTCAATTCCCAGCAACCACATGGCAGCTCACAACTCCAGTGCCGGGGATCAGGTACCCTCTTCTTGCCTCCAGGGGCACCAGGCACACATGTGGCACACAGACTATGTTGCACTGCAGTACTCTGACAACATCTCTTCCATGCTAAGAGAATGGGCCCTTTGCTGGACCTCACAGCCAAAGTGAATAATACCCTTAAAACTTACGATGGCCAGCATGTTGTGCACTCAAACTTCATTTACTCTGTCTTTCGGAGAACAATGTAATAACCAACCATAGTTGGCTTGGGTTTACTACGTAATCAACTTGTACAAACTAAGCTAATGCCTAGCATTAATCTTAAGTATGTTTTCTGTGCCCCTGACCCAGAGTAATCATGTGTATCATCTGCTGAAAGCGGCAAATACAGAAGCTGAAGGCAACTTCCTAAAACCCACCATAAAGGCTGAAAGCAACCGTTCATGGTCACTGGCTGATAGTAACGTTTGTCACCTGGGTCAGCTGGGATCAGGGACTTAATCCCTTGTAACACTCTGTTAAAGGTTTTGGTAGGGTATCTCATTCCCCATGTGATGCTTTCTGGTGTTCAGTAAAGACAGAGCAAAGCCCTGTATCAGGGACAGACCCCACTCACACGTAGACACATACTGCACATACGGACACCACTTACAGAGCAGACAGACGCAGGGACAAATTCACACGGAAGCCATCAGGCAGATTCAGACTCACGGGACAGAGAACAGAAGATATAGGGAGCATGATGTAGAGAATTCACACCTGAACTCACTCTTGTTAAACAGCTCCAAGGGGAAGTGCTTTTATCTCTTAGTGTGCTACCAATGCATTACTGGTAACTCAGGAAATCACTAACGCATACAATCTGTGAAGGCATGCATCCCACAAAACATCCTGTGATGGATATTCTTAATTGTCAACCTGACTACAACTGGAATTAACTAAAACCCAAGTGGCTGGGTATAACTGTGAGGGGTTTGTTTATTTGTCTGTTTTTAATTAAGTCATTTTAAGTGTGAAGACCCGATTTACTTTTGATTCTTCTGAGGTGGGAGGATCCATCTTTCATTTGGACCACACCATCTGCTGACAGCCTATATAAAGGACACAGAAGAAAGAAACTTGTTTTCTTTGCCTGCTTGCTCTTGCTCCCTGCCAAGCCCATTCCTTCACTGGCTTTAGAGCCTCTTTGTGATTCCAGCATATCCTGAAGATAAGCTGGGACATCTAGCCTTGAGGACTGAACTACTACTGTATTCTTAGACCTTCAGTTTGTAGACAGCCATTGTTGGACTAGCTGGACCAAAGCCTGCACACCAAACCATTCTAATCACACTCACATGCATACACATACACACACGTGATTTATATATTATAAATAAATATATATTTACTTATACATACTACACTGTATATATAGACATTTAATGTTTTCTATATTACACATTATATGTGTATGCATGTGTGTGTTATGGTTCTAGAGCAACAGAAGTATAAAGATGAAAAAATTTTATTATTTTGAGACAGGGTTTCTCTGTGTAGCCCTGGCTGTCCTGCACTCGCTTTGTAGACCAGGCTGGCCTGGAACTCACAGAGCTCCCCCTGCCTCTGCCTCCTTGAGGGCTGGGATCACAGGCGTGCGCCACAACACCTGGCTCTAAAGATGAATTTTTTTTAAAGCACCAAGGATAAGCTTTCCAATTTGCCAACAACACCTCCGGTTACTGAAGCCTCTTCTAGAAGCTCAGACAACACTGAAAGCCCAGGGTGTGGCTTATTCTACAAATTTAGGGGCAAGTTCATTTGATTCATCAAGTGTGAGAAGCTGTCACTAAGTATAGAAAACTTTTGACAATTTGTAGAAAAATAAAGAAAACGATGCTGATCAGTTGCTCCAGCATCTCCATACAATTGAGCTCCGTGATAAAATTAACCCACTTCCAGCATCGCAGGTGAAGGACAAACTCAGTAATAAAACTGACCGACTCCAGATCTGCACAAACAGTCTAAAGGTTTCCAAGTGTACCCTGGAAGAGAATTTTCTCTTCAGCAGCCACAGAGCTCAAGTTGTGGAAAATCAAACCAATCCCCCATTATAAGGTTGGCTGAATTACAAAGAAAATTCAAGTTGCAGCCTCAGAAAACGTCAGCAGTGAACGAAAGGGCTACAGAGTCCCGTAATGGGACAGAGAATCGTGGGAGGACTGAGGCTGAGAACTTGAATCCTCAGATTCTCAAGGGTTTATCTCACCTGATGTAATCCCAGCCCCATCCCTGAAATGTTGCCTTTTCTACTTTTGATTGAGGAAAACAATCCTTCATTGACTACTAAGCCAGCAGTGACTTTCTCTGAAGGAGTTGGCAGGCAAGACAATACTGACGTCACAGCACCCAACAATAGCGGCCTCTAGACCTACAAACAGCCCTAAGGCTAAAGAGACCCCGGAGGAAATGTATCCACAGGAGGTGCACTAGACTGAGGAACTTAATGAGTTCACTAATTCGTTCAAGCAGAAGTCTGGGGATTTGAAGAATGGATTTGAAGGGTGTGGATAATGGTGGAAGGAACGCAAAACTGGGTCGGTCTGAGTTTATTAATATGGGCCCTCTGAGTGGAGCTTCTAGGTTTGATAGGGAAGCTTCCACAGTTAAAAAAAAACAAAACAAAACATGTCAAGCCAGGTGGTGGTGTCACCACACCTTTAATCCCAGCACTTAGGAGGAAGAGGCAGGTGGATCTCTAAGTTTGAGGTCAGCTTGGTCTACAGAGTGAATTTTAGGACAACCAGGGCTACACAGTGAAACCCTGTTTCAAACAAACAAACCAAGGTGTTAAAAGTCTGAATGGTTGGCTGAAGCATTTAGGCTTAGCGTTGATGAAGGGATTTTAAGGCTCAGGGAAAATGCAATGCTAGAGTGGGTTCCCTGTGTAAGACCTAATCCTCCACATTGGGAAGGCCCAGAAGACATGCCCTTCACTAATCCTGTAAGATGCAAAAGAGTGACAGGGCCACCAGCACACTGAAGAGCTTTGTTGTTGCCCCTTTCCTTGTGCCACACCTTCGGGCTGGGGATGCTGCTCCGATGGAGTTTAATCAGCCCCCAGGTAGCAGGGGCCAGGTGGCAGCACTGAATTGATAAAGGCAAGATGATTGTACTTATCATAATGGTCAGCACAGACAAAGCAATGTCCACAACAGCCTAATCTGTAATGGTCAGCACAGGTACAGTGGATTTTATAATGGCATGACTCACACGGACCTTTGGTACTAGCTAATCAATCGTGACAGTTCCAGGAAATGGGTAAGAATCCTACTGCCTGTTTTGTTGTTTTTTTTTTTTCCTAGCAGCTGTATAAATGGAAAAATTCTCAAACAAGTGAAAGTGGTCAGGTCCTGAGGAAGAACCATAAATACTAAAAGTTTTACTCTTATCCTGTCCATAGTCCTTCCCCAGAGGGACCTACAGCCTTTTATAAGGGTGACTTACACTGGGGGAAAGGAAGCAAGCTGACTTTCTGAGTCTACTGGATACTGATTCTGAACTGACATTTCAGAAGACCCCAAGAAACATTGTTGTCCTCTCATTAAGGTAAGGGCTTATGGAGATCATACAATGCATGGAGTTTTGGTTGATGTCCATCCACTGATCTCCAAATTCATCCTGTGGTCATTTCTCCAGTCCCAGAACACATACTAGCAGGATAGCTATACTTACAGGTTGGCAGAATTCTCAGGGCTACAAAATGAGACTGTCTCATAAAAAGTATTTACCATGAACAAACAATCCTTAAAAGTCAAGAAAACAAAACTCCTGGTTAAAAACTAAGCAATAGATCTGGTCACTTCACACACACAAAGGTTGGAAAAGTGTCAGAGAACTGAGTATTGCAACAAAATACTTTTACGTTTTCATCAAAATGATAAAATCTAGAATCCTGGCCATGCCAAACGCTGGCAAGAATATGGAAGCTCTTACTCACTGGTGTTGAGAATGCAAAGTGTTAGAGCCACTGGGAAGATAGTGTCATAGTTTCTTGCAAAAATTTGTCATGCTTTTACTATATGGTCCAGCAATCCTTGGTAATCACCCAAAGGAGCTGAAAACTTATGCTCCCACATAAAAAACCCCCCACATGAATTGTCAAAACTCCTTCATTTTCTATAAACATAACAGTCTACAAGCGCACTGAAAAAGCAAATGCGTAACAGACAGAGAACTCACCTGGGACCCCATCATTTTCTGTGGTTGGGTAAAGGCACTGCAGCACGAAGGCACAACTGGAAGAGAAGAAAAGGAAGCTTGTTACTCTGGATCTGACCTGCCTGATACCCAAAATGTTTTGTTCAGACTACTACACAACCTGAACAATACTACCCTGTAAAAGAAACGTTTATATGCCTGGCTCAATTGTTGTCTCGGAGGCTCACTGCCTTCTCAGTTAACCTAGGCCTAATTCTGGAAGCGTCCAGCCTCTGTACAATTAACCTAGGCCTACAATGTTTTCAGCCTCCGAGAGGTTAACGCTTAATAGCAGCCTCCCCTACCCTCCCTAGTCTTACTGAGCTCTGGGCTGGCTGGTTCAACTCAGCTGTTCTGGTTCAAACTCCTCTCCCAGCTAATTTATACAGTCTGGCATTTCTCTTGGTCTCTGAATTGCTGTTTGGCCTCAAACTAACTCCAGCAATCTGCTCTCACTTCCTGGCTCCTCATTCTCTGGCTCATTTGGTCTTCACCTAAGTTCTCCCTCTGCAACCCATTTCTCTCTTACTGTCCCAGTAAAACTAGTCTTCTCTCTCTCATTGCCCCTTAAGTAGCTTTCCTTTCCTCTCTCTTTTCATGAGAGTTGGATGTCTTTCTCTAATTCATCACTGTTTCTGCCACTCAATTAGACATCACTTTCAAACATGGGTGCTTCCTTCTACAAATTAACTTTAACTTCATTGTTTGGGATTAAAGGCATGTACCACTATGCCTGGACCTAAGCTTTTCTTTACCTGAAACTTGCTCTATAACAGGCAAGATCTGCTTGCCTCTATCTCCTGGATTAAAGATATTTTTGTATTCCAGCTGGATCACACAAACCTAGAAGGTCTTTGGATGTGATCTGCCAGAGCAGCCATGTTCTGAATTAAAAATTCTCTACACTAGCCCCTGGCAATACCTACTTTCAATCAAACATGATGAGACACACAGAAAAAAAAAGGCAGAAATAAGACATCCCACCATCAAGAGAGAAAACAGAACCCCAACTCCTGAGGCTGTCAATAAAGTAATTTAAAGTAACTATGACCTCCAAACTAATATATAACTCTGTGCTTTTTCTCCTGTACCCCAGCTTCCGAAATAACAACTCTGAGACAATATTTATGAATAAACGCCTAGGCCATAAGCTTTGGCTCATTCCCTGACTAGCTCATAGTTTATTTTACCCACTTATCTATTTAATATGTGCCACATGGCTGGTTACCTTTCCTTCAGTTTCATGCAAATCCCCCGCCTCTGACTATCCCAGAGTTCATTTCTCTCCCTGCTGGAACGCCTATCTATTTCCTGCCTCAGCTAATAGGCCAATCAGCTTTTTATTGACAGGTGATGCTTCCATACAGGGCACAAGAGTCTCTCTACAACAGTTTTTAATGTAAAAGGGAAATAAGAATGAAAGAATAAGGAACTCCAGCAAAATCACAAGGGGAAAAAAAATTGGAAAATGCTAAGGGCTTAGAGTATAGCTCCACGACTGTCAAGGTTTGGCGATGAGGTGAGCCCCTGAAAGGCTCAAAAGTCAAAGGCTTGGCTGGCCCCCAGCTGCCAAGTTCAATCATTGACAAGTGACTGAACCACGAGAACACTCCTTCATCTATGGCTTAATGCCCAATGGACTTTCATGTCAGCATTAGTGAAAACTAGGAGGTGGGGCTTAATTAGAGGAAGCATGTTGCCAGGGTAGACCCTGGGAGTTAAAACTTGTCTGCAGCCCCTTCCTGTCTTCCTGCTTCCTGGCTGTCAGGAAGTGAGCAGAGATGAGTGGCCTCTACCATGCACCCCACTGCCATGATGTTCAATGTCACCTTAGATTAAAAAAGATGGGCTCAAGGGACCACTGACTGAAATCAGGTGCCACAATAAATCCCCTTCTGAGCTGTTTCTCTCAGGCATTTGCTACTATAACAAAACACTGAGACAAAGGTAGCTGGGGGTGTTTATTCACACCTACAATCCTAACAGTCAGAAGGCTGAGGCAGGACCATTGCCCTGAGTTCAAGGCTAGCCTGGGCTATACAGTAGGTTCTATCCAGACAAGACTAAAGTATAAAGTAAGTTCCATCTAGGCTAGTGTGAGCTAGTCTCGGTTTGCTGTCTCTAACAGCAAAAACAAAACAATACTCATGCGGAAATCCTACCCTGTACAAAACAGTTACTGCACACCTGTGCAAGCCACGTGTCAAGCCAACTACATGAGCTTTACTCACTGCTTTCTCAAAGGACAACCCCTCCATGTGCTGTCTCCTGGAAGCTCCACCACAGGCCCTGACAAAGCCTCATCTGATGACAGTATTGGCCTCTTTGTACTTTCTAATTGGAATTAAGCAAAATTCATCATCCGGGCTGAGGGATGGTAACTATCTTCGTTAGGGTTTCTATTGTTGCAACAAAACACCATGACCAAAAAGCAAATTGGGGAGGAAACGGTTTACTGGGCTTATACTCCCAGATCATAGTCCATTAGTGGAGGAAGTCAGGACAGGAACTCAAGCAGGACAGAACCTGGAGGCAGGAGCAGAGTCCATGAAGGGGTGCTGCTTACTGGTTTGCTTCCCATGGCCTGCTCAGCCTGCTTTCTTATAGAACCCAGGACCACCAGCCCAGGGATGGCACCACCCACCATAGGCAAGGACATCCCCACTGACCACTCATTGAGAAAATGCCTCACAGCTGGATCTCATGGAGGCCTTTCCTCATCTGAGGCTCCTTTTTCTCTGATGACTCTGGCTTGTGTCAAGTTGCCACAACAAAGCCAGCCATTACATCACCAGTTATAGGGCCTCCTCCCTGCCAGGCTCTGGTGCTTTCACACAGGTACAGCAGCTTGGTTTTGCACTAACACCAGAAAGCTAAACTTTAGCAGGTAGAGTTAACAGCCACCTCACCGCCCCTTCTCCAAACTAAGAGACAAATTCAACCTTTTCGAGGAACGGCAAGTGTGCTGGCTGCTCTTCTCGCCGCTGTGCCTAAACACCTGGCAAAATCAACTTAAGAAAGGGGTTTGTTTGGGCTCACAGTTTGCGTACTGTCCATCAGGACAGAAAAGTCACGGCGGCAGGAGCATGAGGGCAACTGATCACAGAGTCGCTGTCAGAAGCACAGATGAAGCTGATCCTCATGTTTCTCCTTTTCACCCAGTCCTGGTCATGGGTGTCTCCCCACCTCAACTAACCCATACAAAAGCTCTCTCAAAGACATGCCCAGAGCTTTGTCTCCTAGGTGATTCTAGATCCTGTCTAGTTGACAATATTAACTATCACAAGTCTTCCATTTGTCAACCCGACAGACAAACATTAATTTTAAGCCTCACCTTCCAACTCTTGTCCCTAGATACAAAATGCATTCAGTCAGTCAGTCCAACTTCAGAAGTTCCTTTTTCTTTAACAGTTCCAACACCGTTCAAAAGTGTAAGTGTAAGCGGGTGTGGTGGCCCACACCTTTAATCCCAGCACTCTGGAGACAGAGGCAGGTGGATCCCTGAGTTTGAGGCCGGCCTGGTCTACAGAGTGATTCCAGGACAGCCAAGACTACACAGAGAAACTCTGCCTTAGAAAACAAACAAAAAACAAAACAAACCCACGATTTCCATACTTCCAGTACATGATGGCACAGGCAAACTCCCTTTCTAAAAGGGAGGAATTAGTTTATAATAAGGACAGATTGTGCCAAAGCAAGCCCCAAACCCAGTAGGCAAACACCAAATCCCAACGGTCCATGTCTGAAAGGTTGAAGTTTGGTGTGGTAGCACCATCGTATAAGCCAGCTACTCATTTGCTGGGGGCTTCAATACCATTTAAGGTCAAATCAAGGGCACAGGCATGTTTTCCTTCCATGGTCCAGCAGCAAAAATCAGGATTCAGGGTTAGGATGAGCCTTTATATCTCAGGTTGTACAAGGTACAGCTTTGGAGGTTAATTTCGTATCACCCCCAGAGTTCAGGACAAACAGAATCAACTGGACCCTGAAGGAGACCTTAACTAAATTAACCATGGAGCCTGATGAGGACCTGATGGCACTCCTCCCCTTTGCTCTTTTTTTTGAAAGATTTATTTGTTATTTATTATTTATACAGTATTCCTTCTGCTTGTGTGCCTGCATGCCAGAAGAGGGCACCAGATCTCATTATAGATGGTTGTGAGCCACCATGTGGTTGCTGGGAATTGAACTCAAGACCTTTGGAAGAACAGCCAGTGTTCTCACCCTCTGAGCGATCTCTCCAGCCCCCTTTGCTCTTTTAAGAGTTGGAAATATTCCCTATATTCAAGGAGTGACTCCTTGTGAAATTATGTGTGAAAGACCTCCTCCAGTATGTCCTAGACTGTAACTTCAGTCTAGGACATACTGGAGGAGTTGCAGAAATATCTAACAGTTACTCCAGTCTGTCCAGGCCCTACAAAAAGATCCAGAAAAATCTGTTCAACCTCTTGTGAGTGGTGTACCTGCTTCCCACTGTCCCACATGGGTTCCAGTCTGGGTTAAATGGCATCAAGCAGACTCTCTGACTCCCCTCCAGAAGGGACCTTGTACAGCGATCCTGATCACTCAGACTGCAGCTGCCAAGGTGGACAGGATTAATTACCTCATCCAAAGGAAGAAGACCCCTTGAATACCCACCAATGGACAATTAAGTGAAACCCTGCTCGCCCAATAAAGCTAAGACTGGTCAAATCTTGATTCTTTTCTGTTGGGTTTTCATGTCCCTGCCTCTGGCTTCAATTATTATCAGCCTAAGGTTTGTGACTGGAAACTACTGAACACTCAAAACAGGTTCCATGGTAACTAGGGTAGCTCAGCAAAAAAAAGCTACTCAGTCCGTTAGCTTTCAAGACCGAGCTTTGCACATTATGATCTGGATTAGGGAACGATAGGACAGTCACGGTGCCTCACTATCCGGGGCCTCAGGAGCTAGAACTACTGCTACGTTGTGGAGATTTGGAGTTTGAAAGGTCTCAATAGGGATCATCATTTTTTATTTCATTTTATTTTAGTTTAGTTTTAGTTTTTGAGAAAGGGTTTCTCTGTGTAGCTTTGGCTGTCCTACACTAACTTTATAGACCAGTCTGGCCTCAAATTCACAGTGACCCACCTGCCTCTGCTTTCCAAAATGCTCGGATTACAGGTGTGCACCACAGGGCCCAGTTGGGGATCGTCTTTTTACGTATGCCCTGTGAATCTTGAATCACTTTATGAACAAAATGGAGACTATCACTGTAAAAACTGGGGATGTGAATCTTGGTCCTCCTGGTCCAAAGACAATGATTGTTATATTGCTATTACCATAGGGGCAAATAGAACTTTCAAGTTGGAGCTGGAGAGATGGCTCAGAGGTTAAGAGTACTGACTGCTCTTCCAGAGGTCATGAGTTCAATTCCCAGCAACCACATGGCTCACAACCATCTATAATGAGATCTGGTGACCTCTTCTGGTGTGCAGGTGTACATGCAGGCAGAACATTGTATACTTAATAAAAAAAAGAACGTTCAAGTTTACTGTAACCTTGTAACCATAACCCTAAAAAGTTGGGATTCCCTCTAGGAGACATCTGGGATAAAGGATGGACCTGGGAGTCTCAGGAAATAACAGACAGGCAAAAGACCTGGGGACTGAACTTAGGGACAATACTTCAGATCACTCCCAAACCCTGTAGGACCAAATAGGGAGGTCAATTACTCACTCCTAAGTCAAAACTAGAGACTGTGGCCCTGGCAACCCCAGACCAGGAGGCTGACACCCATACATACAGTCAGACACCTGTTTCCCATTGAACAAGAACTTAAAAATCCCCTATTGGACACCCTGACTGCTAACCACAATGTGACTCAGCCACGACTTACAAAAGATTTTGTCAAAGGCTTTGGTTAGATCCAAGAACCCCTTATTACACAGGGGTGCGGTAACTCTAGTCACTCTTGAGCCCAATATAGCCAGCATTCGGCAGATTCCTACACACCAGATTGGAAAAAACAAAACAAACACCAACTGCCCATGGCTCAACCATGCTTCCCTCACACTAGAGGATCTGCAAGGAACAGGAACATGCCTCATGTTCCCTACTTACCCTTTTGTAAAAACTTATTCTCCCAGTTCAATTGTTGTCTCGGGGGCTTACTGCCTCCTTCTGCTAACTGCTAACCTAGGTCTAGAATGTTTTCAGCATCTGAGACTTATTGCTTAATAAACTCATCCTTTCTTGCTCTTTCTGAGCTCTGGGCTGGTTCAACTCAGCTGCTCTGGCTCAAACTCATCTCCCAGCTGACTTTCTCTCGGCCCCTGAACTTCTCTGCTTGGCTTCAATCTGCTCTAATCTCCTGACTCCTTCGGTCTTCACCTGAGTTCTCTCTCTGCAACCTGTTTCTCTCTTACTGTCCCAGTAAAACTGCCTTTTGTCTCTCTCATTGCCCCTTAAGTAGCTTCCCTCTCCTCACTCTTCTCATGAGAGTTGGGCATATCCTATTCTGTCTTTCTGATTTATCACTGTTTGTGACATTCAATTAGACATCACTTTCAAACATGGGTGCTTCCTTCTACAAACTAACTTTACCATCACTGTTTAGGATTAAAGGCATGTACCACCACACCTGGACCTAAGCTTTTCTTTACCTGAAACTTGCTCTAGAAGAGACTGGCCTTGAAACTACTTGCCTCTGTCTCCTAGATTAAAGGCATATTTGCATTTCAGGTAGATCACAAAGACCTAGATCTTCGGATGTGATCTTTTGCTAGTCAGATCACATAGACCTAGAAGGTCTTCAGATGTGATCTCTTGTCAGAACAGCCATGTTCTGAATTAACATTCCTCTACACTCCTTGTCCTGATCCCCTTATCAAGGATGCTGTGGTAATACCTTTCTTTCTTGGGATTTACAGGCTGTAACTGATTCTGGCCAGACTTGCAACAGAGACCCACTACTACTTGGTTTGCATGCACCTCTAGTATCACCCCTATCATTTTTCCTACTTCACCCCCGAGCTCTGTATTGTAGTCCACATCATTCCTCAGGTCTACTACTTTGATGGACAAGCTGGAAGAGCCCATATCAGACTCTCGGGGAGTTCCCAACTGACAATGTAGAGCCAGCCCCATCCTAGTACCTTTGCTTGTGGGAACTGGCATTGCCAAGTTAGCAACATTAGGCACTGTCCCCCTTTACTGTTGGAGAAAGAAGTCTTAGAATGTTAAGTGAACAGATAGATAAAGATGTGGGCCACCTGTATTTCACAATCCAACGGCTAGGGAATCAGTGGGCTCTAGCTGAGGTGACACTACAGAGCAGAAGAGGATTTAGCTTTGCTGTTTTACAGGGAAGGTGGACTTTGCACGGCTTTGGGGGAGCCTTATAATCTCTATGTTAATCACTCTGGAGTCATCAGGGATACTTCAGCCAAGGTCAAACAAAATCTAATAGAGAGAGAGCAAAAAAGACAACAGTCCTAGACTTGGTCTCCCTGACTAACAACCCTGCTTATAGCCCTAGCTGGTCCTCTGACTTGTTCTTACTGCTCCTCATAGGGCCTCATATAATCAATGCCCTCATTAATATCACTCAAAAAAGAACAGGATCTATTAAGCTTATGGTCATGAGAACTTCATATAACCCTTTGTATACAGAAGATGATCAATATTGTGATCTATTTTCACAAAAACAGGAAGAAATGACAAGATGAAGCTTGGTGTGAATAACACCATCTTAAGCCAGCCACCCATTTGCTGGGGTTTGAGCACCACTTAAGGTCAAGTCGAGGATGCAGATGTGTTCTGTATTTTTTTTTTCCTTTTGGTTTTTCCTCCAATTCTTTCCATGTTCCAACTGCAAATAACATGACTCGGTTTCTTACTCCCTGTTCAAAGAAACCTATTATTAAGAAGCCAGCCTGTTATTGTGCCCTCGTGTAATCTCAGGTGGCCACCTGCTGTGGGTTTCCATCTTGTGATACTATCTTACACACATTGCTTACCGGTTTTGAGTTTAAAAACCTGCTCACCTAAAAGGGTCGGGGGTGCAGTATCAGCTGAGTCTGTGCTGCATCCCTGCTGGTCAGCTGCTCTGGTTAAGAAAACGTGCTGTGTCCTTGGTGTTGGATTTTGGCTGGACCTCACAACATGTCTAGCGCCTGAGGCTTGTGATAAAATTATCCAGGCTCCAAGATCACTCCTACCCCTGCAGTTTCCTGCCATCTGCGGCTCATGTAGCCTCTCTCTTGGACCAGCTCAACTCCATGCATACAACTTTCTTCCGAGTCCCCCAATTCTCTCATCTCCAACATCCTTGGATCTTCACAGCAACTCAGACTTTACCTTTGTATGCAAAAAGTGCAATAAGGAAACTGCCAACATGACTGCTCTGAGGTTAGGGGAAAAGTTCTTATTGTGCATCAGAAAGAAAATACTCAGAGGTATCTGGAGGAGTCTAGAGCAGAGAGAAAGCAAACAGACTGAATATGGCCAGGGCTACCCGTGGGAGAAGAAAGAACAGCAAGGGATAGAGAATAGAGAAAATGTAACTAGAATAGCAGAGGCAGGGGGAAAACCCTTGCCATCATAAGGAGAACGAAAGATATGAGGTCTTGGATGTTGAACCAGCAAATATGGAGGGCTGGTTGCACATGCCCGGTCACAAATAGAACTCAGCCTGGCTATCTGAGAATGCCCCAGTGGCTTATCTAAACGGATCCCACCACTGCAGCTGGGAGGAGGAAGCCTGGGAAGGGGAGAAAGGCGAGGATGCTAGCATGGATTCTGAGGCACACAACAGGTATCTGTGATACTGAGAGAGCCTAGAGGCCACCATGGGCTTTGATAAACTGACACGTGCCACCGGTAGCCATATGTCCCTGCTGCATAAGGGAAATGACTTCTTTTGGTAGATGGGAACCAGCTCCACAAGTTCCTGGGGAATGCGGGCTTTAATTTAAGTGCCAGAAATCCTCCTACAGTCCAAGCTGAGCTTATTTTTGGCTATTTGGACAGCCTTTTGGAGTTTGGGGAATTGGAGTGTCCTTTGGACCTGACAGCTTTCACAGCTTCCTACTATGGCCACTTTGTTTGGCCTCAGCAGCCTTCCACAAATTTGGCATAAGCCTCCTGATCCCCTTACTCTCGCATCTATTATACCTATACCATGATGCTTGATTCCAGCTGCAGCTTGGCCCTTTTGGGCCAGACTTGTGTCAGCCCATCTGCCTTCCAAGCTTACCTGGAGGAAACACCTTCCCACGCGGTGGTTTTCAGAGGACTCCTTCCGTGGCAACCGACTTCAGGCTCTCTGCATTCAAGTGAATGCTTTGTTACAAACTGCAGCCTTCTCTGGGGCAGGACTTTTGCCCTAGAGAACTTTCCCTAAGGTCTTAGTGAGGGCAGGTCTCCCTCTCTAACAACTGCAGCCGCCTTCTTTCTCAGCATCGGCCTCATAGCCTACAGGTTTAAATTCCCTCCTTTTCCCCACCAGACCACACAGTTTTGCTCTCTTGCTGTTGTCTGTCACAGAACACTGGGATAGGAGTAGCGTGCAGTAAGCTTCATAAAGTCTGAATGTCATCCAAAAGATGGTGTTAGAAATTGAATCCAGGTCTTCTCGAGGAGCAGTAGTGTCTTAATCACTAAGCCACCAAACAAATTAATCCACTACTGTTGAATTCAGCCTGAGATTCTCAGGATATAGAAAGAAGGCAGCCCAGTTCTTGGCCAGCATATGACATAAATGGCCTCTAGACCATTTCAGAGAAGGCCTTGCCTCCCTATGAAACCTCAGTAGCCTTCACTATCTATGTTCCTCTCCCTTTCTAAGATTTATTTTTGCATATGTGTGTATGTTTACAAGTGCATGCCATCTACGTGTGGGTGCCTGAAGAGGTCAGAAGAGGGTGCCGGATTCCCTGGAGCTGTGAGTCCCTCGATATGGCTGTTAGAAACTGAACTATGCTCTCAGCAAACGCAGGAAGTACTCTGAACTGCTGTGCTCTCTCCAGCTCCCTAAGTTTCTCTTGGCACTGTCTTCTGCACTCCCAGCAGAGTGGCCCACTACGGTCTGCTTGCAGCGTTTTAGGGCTTCTCGAACCCGAGGTTCCAAACTCCTCCAAATTCCTCCCACAAACCAGTTCCAAAGCCCCAGGAACCACCTGGTCCAGTTTTTCTTTTTCCTTCTCACCCCTCACGCCCCCCCCCCCCCCCCCCCCCCCCCCCGCCCCTTTTTTTTTTTTCCTCCTCCCCCCCCCCCCCCCCCCCCCCCCCCGACAGGGTTTCTCTGTGTAGCCTTGGCTGTCCTGAACTCTCTTTGCAGACCAGGCTCAAACTCAGAGATCCACCTCCTTCTGCCTCCTAGAGTACTGGGATTACAGGCATGTGCCACCACGCCTGACTCAAGCTTTTCTTGATCAAGGGTGAAGCACCAAAACTTATGTCCTGCAGCGCCCAAAGATAAAGACACACCACTGGCTAAGCAGCACATTAACACAGCATCACACGCTGATGACACTCCTGACCTGCCAAACACTAAATTATGCCCTGTGACAGAAAAAGCGGAATTTGAAAGGGGGAGCTCAGAAAACCATGCCACAGATGTGCCGCTAGCCACAGACTTCACAGCCCTTTGAGCCATTCCTGTCCTTCCTGCCCTAATTGGATTTCTACAACTTGAGTAAGTAAATAGACTCTAAGTGTGGGTCTTTGGAACTACATGCCCATGTGGCCATTTGGAAAGAAGAGTTATTAACGGCCAAAAGCTCCCCAATGAAACAAAGAACTGACATTTTCTTGCTAGAAACACTGACACAACCTCAAAAGCAGCTTTTACTCACCACTCTTTCACCACCAAAGGAATACATGGGCAGAGAAAGCCACCAAGTGGGCAACCTGGAAGCTGAATCAGATAAAATACCGAAAATACTGGCTGGCATGACAGAGTAGTCATTGAGACCAGATCCCTGCTTCTCATCAAAACAAGTGGTTCCTAAAAGATAATGAAAAAAAAAAAAAAAATGTCCAACCAGGGCTGGAAAGATGGCTCAGAGGTTAAGAACACTGGCTGGAAAGATGGCTCAGAGGTTAAGAACACTGGCTGTTCTTCCAAAGGTCCTGAGTTCAATTCCCAGCAACCACAGCCATCTATAGTGAGATCTGGTGTGCAGGCACACATGCACGCAGAACCTTGTAGAAGTAATAAATAAATAAATCTTTAAAGGAGAGAAGAAAAAATGTCCAGCCTCACTAGCCATCATAGATACACAAATCAAAACTGCAGTGAGATTCCATTTGTCTTAGGGTTCCATTGCTGTGAAGAGACCATGACCGCACAACTCTTCCCACAACTCTTCTAAAGGACAATACTTCATTGGGACGGCTTACAGTTTCGGAGATTTAGTCCATTATCATCACGGCGGGAAGCATCATGGTCTGCAGGCAGACACGGCGCTGGAGGAGCTCAGAGTCTGACATCTTGATCCACAGGCAGAAGGGGACTGTGCCACACTGGGCACAGCTTGAACATATATAACCTTAAAGCCTGCCCCCACAGTGACAGAATTCCTCCAACAAGGCCACACTTCCTGGCAAGAATGCACACAAATGGAACCCTCACACCGCCAGGGGAAAGTGTTAGTCCAGCCACTATGGAAGTCAGTACAGAGGTCTCTCCAGAAACTGACAGATCGTCCATATGACTCCGCTACATCACGCCTAGGTTTTTACACGGAGATTCCCATATCACAGAGACACTTGCACATTGCTTTGTGGGGGTTTCCCCCAGCATCATTCACAAAGAGCTATGTTACGGATCCACCATAGGCGTCCAACAATAGAGGAATGAATAATGAAAACATGACATACAGAATTCTTTTTCATGTGCGCACATGCGTGTGTCGGGGTTGGAGAACAACTTTCAGGAATCTGCTCTCTAGTTATCTCCATAGCAACATATGAGTTCCAGGGCTCAAACTTAGATTTTCAGTATTGGTGGGAAGTGGCTTTACCCACTGAGCCTTCTGACTAACCCCACAAGGGATTTTTGTTTAGCTAAAAAGTTATGGGCTAGAGAGATGACTCAGAGATTAAGTCTCTGAGTACTTAATCAGTACTTTGGCTGTACTTCCAAAGGTCCTGAGTTCAAGTCCCAGCAACCACAACCATCTACAATGAGATCCTGTGCTCTCTTCTGGTGAGCAGGAAGAATACTATATAAATTAATTGATTTTTTTAAAAGAGCGAGTTATATCATTTGCAGGAAAATGGATGCAACTGAATATAATCATATTGAACAAATTACTCCCGGCTGGGCAAGGTGGCCCACACCTGTAATCCCAGCACTCTGGGAGGCAGAGGCAGGCGGATCTCTGAGTTTGAGGCCAGCCTGGTCTACAGAGTTGAGTCCAGAACAGCCAAGGCTACAGTGAGACCCTGTCTCAAAAAAAGAACAAACAAATTACTCTCAAAAAGACAAATAAGTGTTTTCTGACTTGTGGTTCTTAGATTTTTATATAGAAGCACAAAATCATGTACTGAAATGAAACTAGGAGGTTAAAGGGAAATAGCAGAAGGGGAGGGTTAAGCAAAGGCGACAGCAAGATATGGGGGGGATGCTTAAGATACAATATATACTTGTATGAAAGCTTAAAAAAAAAAAAAGTAAAAATAACAATTCTAGTCAGGAAAATAAGAGGTAAGGCTGGGTGGGCTTGTACAGTTCTCGAGTTCGAAGCCAGTTTAGGCTACATGGCAAGCTGCTGGCCAACCTAATCTACCCAGAAAAGCCAAAAATAATAAAAAATAAACAAATCTGTGTATGCTGAAGCTCAAACCGGAAGTAACGGGGGGGGGAGGTGATAATTCCGTGACAGTCTAACTGCAAACACCAAGGAGGCTACGGGACGCCGCTAAACCGGCCTCGGGGGCGTGGCCGGCGGCGTGGGCCCCGCCCCCACCCGCTCGCGGAGGGGCACGCGCGCGCCCGCCGGGCTTCCGGACTGGCTCCCGCGCGGCCCGAGCCCCGCGAGCCCGGCAGAGGCGCGACAAAGAGGGGCTGGAGCCGGCAGCCGCCCGTCCTCCTCCGAGCGCACGCGCTGGCCCACAGGGACGACTCTCGGGAGGGATCGAGGCCCGACCCTGCGGCCGGGGGTCGCCGCAGCCCGCGAGGCGCCCGAGTTGGGGCTCCGGGCCCGCGCACCCCAGGCCGTGCAAACATACCTGGAGGGGTTTAGCCTCCACTCGCGGTTCCGGGTCACGAGGCGCGCGGACGAGGGGGCCCTGTCACCCACTCGCGACTGCAGGTGGGGGAAGGGCGACCGCCAGCGCGTTCGCGCAAGCGCGCAGATCCCAGAGTCCTCCCAACAGTGACGCTAGTTTTAGGACTACAGTTCCCATAGGCCTCCGAGCCGCGCCGCTGGGGACTCTGGGAAGTCTACGCGTTGTTTGTAGGTCAGGGAATGTGCTGTCCCAGTTAAGTGAGTCTGGACTGTTCTGATCTGAGACCTGGCTGAGTCCAGTCCCTTCTCTCCTCCTACGCCGTTAAAAACCTTGGTTTTTGGAAATGACACGAGTACTCGATTGCCACTTTTCAACTACAAAGTATGTACACTAAGGCAGAAATCAACCTTAATCTCAACTGTGTAAGAATCACACACACCTTTCTGGGTGTGGTAGTGCAAACCTTTCATCTCATCCGGGGGAGGAGGAAAGGAACAGAAGTGACCCCAATGCTCAAAGTAGAGCATGAGGATTAGTTCAAGGCCAACCTGGAATATGTGTGATGTCTCAGAAAGAAAAGAGAGGAAAATAAATGTTTCTAGTTTGTGATAATTCTGTAATCTTGGCACTGGGGAGGCCGAGGCAGGATTATTTCTATGAGTGTGATAACGAGCGGGGCTGCTACACAGTGAGTTCCAGGCTAGCCTGGGATACAGAGTGTGGACCAATCTCAAAAACAGGGTTGGAGTGGCTTTAATCCCAGTACTCGGGAGGCGGAGGGAGTTAAATCTCTTGTGAGTTTGATGCCAACCTGGACTACATAGTGAGTTCCAGGACAGCCAGGGCTGTGTAGATTCTGCCTCAAAAAAACAAAACGACAGCAGAAACAGGGCTGGTAAGATGACTCAGGGTACAGGTGCTTGCCACTAAGCTTGACAATCTGAGTTATATCCCTGATCCCCCACATGCTGGAAGAAGGGAACCAACTCCCACAAGTTGTCCTCTGAGCTCCACACTGTGGCACATTTGTAAGGGCATGCACAGACACCCTCAAAAATATCCTAAAATTCTTTTAAAAAGAGAATGTGCATTATATCTTCGTTTGTATTTGCAAAAGACTGTAAACAGTATAGGTCTTTCAGTGTTTGTGAACCAAATAAACTGCAAATAGGATTGAAAGAGGTGCTGAAAACGATGTTTGTTGATCACATAATGGAGGTGTCTTAATTAACTGAGAAATGAAAAATAAAGGCAGAATTATATGAGAATCTGTCAAGTGTGGTCCTATTTAGGTTGGAGATGTAATTCAATAATAGAACATTTGCTAGCTTGAAAAGACCTTGGGCTAGATTCCTAGCACCACACACACATCTGCACAGGAATAGAAATGTCCCTATTCTTGTAAAAAGGTATGCATAGTTTGAGATGAAACTGGAAATACCAAAAGAAGAGTGAAACCCCCCCCCACACACACACTTTCTCTTATGCTAATACCACCGAATGAGAACTCTTTCTGAAGAACTTGCAAACTTCAATAAAGGAAGAGTTCAGAGGAAGCTGGGTTTTGTTTTTTTTTTTTTTTTTTGGTGTTGTTTTGGTGTGTTTTCTTTTTGTATGTTTGTTTTTGTTTTTTTGTTTTGGTTTTGGTTTTGTTTTGAGACGGGTTTCTCTGTTTTAGCTCTGGCAATCCTGGAACTCACTCTGTAGACCAGGCTGGCCTCCAACTCACAAAGGTCCGACCAGCTCTGCCTCCTGAGTGCTGGGATTAAAGGCGTGCACTTCTACAGCCACCACCAGGCTCAGAGGAAGGTTTTAAAAACACAGTGTGGCTGGAGAGACTGCGGAGTGGTTAAGAGAACTGGCTGCTCTTCCAGAGGTCCTGAGTTCAATCCCCAGCAACCACACAGTGGCTCACAACCATCTATAATGTGATCTAGTGCCGTCTTCTGGCATGCAGAATACAGCATTCATATACATAAATAAGTCTTAAAATGTACAGTTTTGCTAAACATTCTGGGTTTTTTTTTAACGATTTATTTATTATGTATGCAATGTGTGTTTCCATGTACACCTGCACGCCAGAAGACGGCACCAGATCTCATTATAGATGGTTGTGAGCAAGCATGTGGTTGCTGGGAATTGAACTCAGGACCTTTGGAAGAACAGCCAGTGCTCTTAACCTCTGAGCCATCTCTCCAGCCCCCTTGTTAAATATTCTTTGTTTCTTCTTTCTTTCCCTGAGACAGGGTCTCATATATTGAAGACAGGTCTTGAAGTTAGTACCCAGGAGTGGAGTAGTCACTATGAAGCCCAGAAGAGCCTTAGACCTCTGATTCTCTTGCCTCTTCCCCCTGAAATGCTGGAATTAAAGGTGTGCTTTGTGTAGGGCTAGAGATAGAACATAGGGCTTTATGTGAACATGCTACCAGTTGAACTATATTCAGTTTGAAACCTGACATCCTCCTCCTCCTCCTCCTGCTCCTCTTCCTCCTCCTCTTCTTCTTTTTGTAACCTTGGCTGTCCTAGACTTGCTTTGTAGAACAGGCTGGCCTCCAACTCACAAAGATCTGACTGCCTCTGCCTCCCTGAGTGCTGGGAGAATGCTACCACGGGATTCTCTGCTCCAAAATAAATATCCAGGAAAGTATTTTTACTGGGTCAGCCTGGAAGGCACAGAGAGGCTGATGTAACTGTGTTCCCAGGGGAACAAGATACATCTCAAGCTTGAGATGTTTCCTTGTTGCAAGAAAATGGAACTTGACCATATCTTCCACTTGGTAGTGTTTTGTTTTGTTTTGTTTTGTTTTAAGACAAGAAATATGCAAGAGTAAGGGGTCATAGAAGTTTGTGCTAAAGTTCCAAAAAGCTTCCCAGTCCATTCAGTGTGTGGCAGAGTCAGATTCTCTGTAGGGAGGCCCTGAGAGACCACTGTGTGAAGGTCTGAAGGTGAAGCCTAACACTGCAATGGGGGCTCCAGGATGTTGGAGATGACAGGACCTTGGGATGTCTGCTGAGAAAATCTGCAGGCATGGATTGGAGCCTGGCCAGTACAGAGGAAATGTGTACTTCCTTCAGTAGAGCTATATGGGCAGAGCTGCCTAAGGCTGTTAGAGTCCAGATGGTTCTGTTTTGAGTCCCAGAGGCCAGAGATGGAGCTGCAGGGTTTGGTGTTTGCCCTGCTGGGTTTTGATCTTGCTTTGGGAAATATTTCCTTGCTATCATTTCATTCTTTCTTTCCGAGCTGGGAATGTGTACTCCGTGTCGTATTGGAAGTATGTTGCTTTGTTTTATTTTATGTGGACTCCTGCTTTAGAGATTGCCTTGACTTCATAGAAGACACTGGGGGGGGGGCTCTTGAACAATTTTGGAACAGTTAAGATTTTGGGAACTTTAAATGTAGGCTAAATGAATTTTGCATTATGAGATGAACATGAGCCTTTAGGGATCAGGAGACTGAAATTACTTATTTAAAAGTGATGTGTTTGTGTAACCATTCTTAGAGGAAAGAAGATAGTATAAACAGATACTGTGTCCCTCCCTTAGGCTATCAAGCTATTGAGACAATGGACCACAAGCTGGAAAGAGGAAAAGGCTGGGATTCTGGTGCCAACCAGAGGCAAAGCTTGTCTCCCAGAAAGAGATTTCATGCAATTCTGACAACTTGTCAGAACCACCTTGCAGGAGAGACTGGAGCTGAGACAGTGATGATGGACTGGAGCTGAGTGGGTCACTGGACCTCTTGGCTCCTCTTCCTGATGATAATGTTTGTATATCTAACAATAATGGTAACTTATACTGTCCATCACACTACATGGGAATAGTTCCAAAACTGACTGATTGGATGTCTATGCAAACCAATAATTTTTATTGGCTACAAACTTCCCATAACATGTAGGTGCCATCCTTTCATACAGCATGAATAAAGATTTACAGATGTCTTCTGCTCACACAAAGAGCAGAGAGCCATCCTTAATTGATCTGTGCATATATTTATAATTTTAGGACTGTATAATACTTGTGAGAAATTATATATTTTCAAAACAGAAGAACTGGACACCAGTGATGCTGGATCAAACCTGACAGGATCCATCCCTCCAGCATGCTGAGACCCTGACGCATCTGTTCCAGTATCCTGCATGTTCCAGCATTCTACTTGTACTTCAATTGCTGTTCCTCATCAAAGCCTGCTCCCAAAACAGCTTCAGAGTAAGCTGCTGATCTCAATTGGTCCAGTGTTTCAGACTGTTCCAAACAGGACTTCTATTAAGTCTGGAATTTCTCAACATTTAGAAACTGGATCACAAATGTTAATGCCAGCTTACTTAACTATTTTCCCCAATTTCCTTTGGGCCCCAAATAGGATTTTTTTTGTATCTAAATCAGGTAGAAGCAACCTTGAGAGTGAAGTTGCATTTCCCTTAAGTTTTTGGTTGTTTTGGGCGGCTACGAGTGTTTATTGTCATTGAGAGATGGCTATAAGTTATTAATGGTCTTATTCAGAGAGAAGACGGAATTAGAGTCAAGGATTTCTCTCTTTTCTTTCCTCTATCTTTCTTTTTTAGATAAGGAGAGAAAAGGTTGAAAAGAAAGGGAAATAAAAACATATCTTATAGGAATAATAAGACAGAAGGTAGATTATTGAATCTACTCAACTTAAGACTTTGTTATTCTCAAATCAGGTTATTTTTAACTCATTGGCATAGGATTTTGTATAGTAATACAAAAATAAGTATGTATGATACATTGGTATAAATTTTGTTAGATTGATACAAATTTAAGGCTAATTTTCAATACTTTTAAAACTGATATTATAAGCTTTTAGGATATTAGGTAATACAATTGGTAATTGGTAAATGTAATTGGTAATCAACTCATGCTCCTATCAGACACTGTTCTAATCTATCACAGAAATATATATCCTAGATTTAACAGATAGACATGATTCTATACACAGATAGATTATATAAAAATAAATAAGTCTTCAAAAATCATAAAGACCTACAGAACATGGCATTTAAAATGTTTTTATTATTTTAATGATTCTTTAACAATGAGACATGTCATCTCCCGGTAGCACCCAGCCTACCTCAAAGAAGATGATGAGCAT